AGACGCTGAACTGCAGGCTGTGGAAGGTCAGTAGTTCAGCAGTTCAAGACCCGAGTGTGCCGCAAGACGGAGTGAGCTCCCATCTCTAGTTCCAGCTCCTGCCAACCTAGCAGTTCGAAAGCAAGAAATTGCAAGTAGATAAATAGGTACCACTTTGGTGGGAAGGTAACAGCGTTCCGTGCGCCTTGGTGTTTAGTCATGTCGGCCACATGACCACGGAAAAGACGCTGAACTGCAGGCTGTGGAAGGTCAGTAGTTCAGCAGTTCAAGACCCGAGTGTGCCGCAAGACGGAGTGAGCTCCCATCTCTAGTTCCAGCTCCTGCCAACCTAGCAGTTCGAAAGCAAGAAATTGCAAGTAGATAAATAGGTACCACTTTGGTGGGAAGGTAACAGCGTTCCGTGCGCCTTGGTGTTTAGTCATGTCGGCCACATGACCACGGAAGGTACCTTCTGCATAGATTTATGACCTTTAGGGGTGAGTTCGCAGTCAGTACGGCGTTGGCCCAGGGTATCTGGATGTGGTTTTGAGCTACACCTCAAATGTGGAGTGAATGCCAGATGCAGAACCAGCCTCTATGCACATCTGGATGCCTCCGTTGCTGCTGGGAGCTTAGGAATGTCCCCTCCTCCAACACTACCCCCCCACACACACACTGCTAGTTTTCCTTTTTCCCTCTGAGAGTTCAGTTGGAGAAGAGCGGGATGACAGCAGAGGGCGAGTAGCGGAGCACTGCAAGGGAGCTCCCCCAGCTCCACCTTTTGTGCTTTCGAGCTGAATGCTTGGTTGAGTCCCAGATTTTTACCAAAGACCTTTATCATGTTCAGACTGCAAAGCAGACACCTGGGGGGCGAGAAGAGCGGGAGTTCCTGCCTCGATAATTTAAATAATGAATCAAATATTGTTCTCCACGGTCAACTCATCTTACCGTGAAAAACTTAGTAAGTGTTTTACCTTTTGAATACAGACAGCACAAGAATCCACGTCTGGGCCTTTCCCGCCCTGAAGTTTTGCTTGCCTCTCTCTTTTCTCTTCAAGGTAGATTTGCTTCATGAAGGTAGCCCTGAGCCGGCCCTGTCTCGCACGCTCAGCGATCTGGATTAATCGAACGGCTTCTTCGAAGACCATCGCCGTCACACGTTTTTTCTGCAGCATAAAATTGAAATGAGGGATAAAAATAAACTCATTTAGAACACAGGCACTAACCCAGAAACCAAGCCTGGGCAATATAAAACCCATGGGCCCCATTAAAGACTTCTTTCCTGACTAACTCAGTGAGAGAATGCCAAATATCCATACTCTGTAGCTTTCTCCCTCCTTTCCGGCAAGATGCGCATGAGGAAGAGATTTTTATACCCGGCTTTTCTCTACCTTAAGGAGTCTCAAAGTGGCTTACAATTACACTCCCTTCCACTCCCCACAACGGGAACCTGGTGAGGTAGGTGGGGCTGAGAGAGTTCTGAGAGAACTAAGACTGGCCCAAGGTCACCCAGCAGGCTTCATGTGGTTCTCCAGATTAGAGTCCCACTCTTAACTACTACACCACACTGGCTCAAAGCAGTGAAATGCCCATCAAAAATAGATGTGAGATTTGGAAGAACTCATACGTCACCATGCATCAGCTTTTCTCAGCCAGTGGTAGCTAGTTGTGGCCCACCAGTGAATTCTGCACGTGCCGCATGTGAAACTTGTTAGGAGAATGAAAACCTTATGCTGCTGCTGCCACTGAAGTCACAGAAGAGAAGCAGAGATAGGGAGGGAGGGAGGGAGGGAGGAAGGAAGGGAGGGAGGGAGACCCATTCCCTTTCTTTTTGCAGAATCACAGAGGGAGGGAGGGAGGGAGGGAGGGAGAGATGGAGTTAGAAGAATTTGTGAGAAAGAGAAAAATAAGAAGAAATGGACATGCAGAGAGCAAAATGTTACTAACACAGAATTGGGGGGGAAAGGAAGAGGGCTAGAATACTAATTTGGGATTTTAAAAGTCTGGCAGACAGTAAAATGATTTAAACTGACTGAATGGAAAAAGATTTGCCCCACAAGCCACAAACTCCTGGCTACAGCCTGATGCAAAGCTGAGACACAGCGCCACAGGTGGTGGAGATAAACAGGATCCTGGCCCTTACTTGGGCACCTCAGTATCTGGGTTGTTCCCTAGCTTTATGCAGATTGATTCCATTATATATGGAGATCTAAACAGATGGTACTCACAGGTTGATCATCATACAATCCGGCTTCAATCAATATCTGAGCAAGGATTCTCTCTCTCTCTTTCAGCACCTTCAGCTTCTCCTTAATAAAATACCGGGGGATGGGGATGTCAATACTATCCTGTCGAAGAAAAGAGAGACTTTTGTAAACCACACTAGCCATTCATTTAACACCTTTGCTCTACAGAATAACGGAAAGTGCTGAACATACAATCCTGGGAGTGTGAATGAGTGCCCTCCGTAACAGCAGTCAAGCTACTGCTCTGTAACTGCACGGTCTGGATCAGGGGCTCCCAACATGGTGCCCATGGCAGCCACAGTGCCTGCTGCCATCTTTCCCGTTACCTGCCAAGTGTTTTCAAAAAGTGGGCATGGTCGGGTGGGACTTTTGCCCAGCAACACTTCTGACTGGCCACTGGAGATTTAATTGGCTATGCATGTTTTTAATAGCGTTGCCTTGGCAGCAGCTGACACCACAGCACAACAGTTAAGCTGCAGCAGGCATTTTGTGGCTGGCTCCGCCTCTGGCAGCAGCTGTTTTGGGGCTGTGCCCACCATGTTGAGTCAGAATTCCAAAGGTGCCTGCAGGCTCAAAAAAGGTTGGGGACCCCTGTTCAAGATCATAACTTATTTCGTCAAAACAAGGCCCCTGGATAATTACAGTCCCAATTACGAGATCCTTTAAGTTAGGGCGATTTCGCACTAAAGTTGCCTCGCGGCGCAGCTGCTGTTTGCCCCGACACTATTTGTCAATTTCACACCCGAGGCTGCGGGGCTGCATTTGATCCGCGGCTTCGGCCGATTTCCTCCGCAGTTTCGTGATCCTCAAAAACCAGGATCACGAAACTGCGGAGGAAATCGGGCAAAGCCACGAGTCAAAATGCAGCCCCACAGCTCCAGGTGTGAAATTGGCATGTTTGTGTCCGGGCAAACGGTGGCTGCGCCGCGAGGCAGCTCTAGTGCGAAATCGCCCTTAGTTTTGTTACTAGCACAGTGTTAGCGCCGACTGAAAACTTTATCCGGGAAACGGAGTAAAAACCAACACGATAGCCTTTCTGAAGCATTTTCCCTCAAGGTGCTTCACACAAATTAATTATCACTAAGTAAAAAACCCAAACATATGCAAATAGGCAATCTACTCTCTTAGTGGCATTAGCGCTGGTGTTCACCACCCATCTGTCTGTACGTGTTGCAGAACCAACAAATGCCAGCTGCTCACTGAATGCATGGATGTGTATAGATTGAGACCTTATGCATTCTGTGTATGGGAGCACGGGTTTACCCACTGAGAGCTTTCCAAAGAGTAAACACTGCTGATGTGTACGCCGTTTCCCGCAAGGATGTCCCTTATGGTGGATCATTAAAATTCTTTTTGAATTCCAGAGCATTCAAAACAGATGTCTGGAGGTCTGGGGGAGCTCTGTAGGCGAAATGTAAACATGCTACCTTCTGAATTTTTGTTTCAGAGCACAATCTTTTCTTAAAGAAAAAGTTACGTATTTTACCTGATGAGGGCAACCTGTAGAGCTGTACGGTGTGTGTGTGTGTGGGGGAGAAGATAAAGACATGGATCGAGAAATGTGAGGCTTGTTGGGGAAGTGTCAGCTTCAAGGTCAGTTTCTGTGTTTTTATTAAGCACAGGACAGGGCAACCTGCCCATTCTCCCCCCACACAGCAGTAATGGCTTTGGTTCGGTCAATGATGACTTCTTGCCGCAGACTGGACTGGCTTTTTGCACGGGCTTGAAAAATACACTCATACGAATACCTGGATGCCAACAGGCATTGGCAAATGTCTCCAAAGAAAGGGTTGGAAAAATGGATCATCAGTGAATGGAAAAGGCAGGGCTCAAAGTACGGGGGGGGGGGGGGGGAGCAGAAGGATCCAAGCCCCTTTAGGAATAAGCCACCTAGTAAATGTGCTTGGAATGTGTGGGGCTTGCATGACTTACACATTTCATTAATGACCCCCTAACTTTTCCTGTATATTTCAAGCACTGGAAAAAAGAGCTGCTGTGTTTCTCCCACTACCCATCCTCTCCGTTTCTGTTAAAAATGCTGCCTTATAGGTCTTTTCTTAGAAGCCTAAACATAAAAGTGCATTAGGGCCCTCGTCTCTCCTTCTGATCAGCCTTCTTTGGGGCAGATAAGTGGGCTATATCAACACGATTAGATTTCAGAAGTAGCAATTTTTCTCTTTTTAATACTGCAATCATCACTATGACAAAGTCTGAGGTCCACAAAATGAAAAGAAATCCACTTTCATTTCTCATCTGGTTCCTAAAAGATCATTTCCCACAAAGCTCTACTTGAAACAAACCCCATTCATTTTCTGTTTTTATCTATTGACTTACTTCATGTGTACCCTTCTTTCTCTCCAGTGGGGACCCAGTGTGGCTTACTACATTCAGTCTCCATTTTATCCACACATCAACCCTGTGAGGTAGGTACAGCTGACAAAGTGTGACTCTGTCAAGGTTCCATGGCAAAGTGGGGATTTGAACCTGGGGCTCCCAGATTCCAGCCCAACAATCTAACCACTGCCTTGCATTCGTAAGCTACCTTGAGCTATACAGAAAAGGGGGAGGTATACAGGTGGCTCAGAGGTTAAGACGCTGAGCTGCAGACCGGAAGGTCCCTCAGTGGCTATTAGCCACAAGGTATAGATAGGGACTCTGGGGCAAGTGATGCTCTGTCATCTTGGTGCTTGGGGGGGTCAACAGTGGGAGGGCTTCTAATGTCCTTTCCCCACTGGTGGACCTCCTGATGGCACTGGTATTTCTGGCCACTGTGTGATACAGAGTGTTGGACTGGATGGGCCTTTGGCCTGATCCAACATTGGCATCTCTTATGTTCTTATGTCGGTAGCTCGGCAGTTCAAGACCCGAATGCCGCGTGACGGAGTGAGCTCCCGTCTCTGGCCCCAGCTCCTGCCAACCTAGCAGTTCGAAAGCAAGAAATTGCAAGTAGATAAATAGGTACTGCTTCGGTGGGAAGGTAACAGCGTTCCGTGCACCTCAGCATTTAGTCATGCCGGCCACATGACCATGGAAACGTCTTTGGACAGCGCTGGCTCTTCGGCTTGGAAATGGAGATGAGCACTGCTCCCTAGAGTCAGATTCGACTGGCTTTCGAGCAAGGGAAACCTTTTCCTTTATATAGGTGAAACTGAGAATATATGGGAAAGATATAAATATGATTAATAAAATTTAGGATTGGTTACAGAATCTGTGTGAACTAATAAAATGAGGAGAGAGAATGTAACAAAATCACTCCCTTCTTCCTCTTCCATTCACCGTCATGTGAGTCATTCGCTCATGCCAGTAGGGGACACCTCAGAGCTCGCTTGGTATGTTTTCCACCGCTGAGGCCTCTGCTGTCCAATGTGGGAGCAGAGTGGCACTGCTAGGCCTTGGCATTCACATTCTTTGCACTGGTGAGAGCCAGTGTGGTTCAGTGGTTAAGAGTGTCGGACTAGTATCTTGGAGACCAGGGTTCTAATGCCCACGTGCACCGTGAAAGTTCACCGGGTGACCTTGGACCAGTCATACCCTCTCAGCCGAACCCATCTCACAGGGTTGTTGTAAGAACAAAATGGAGGAGAGGAGAATGATGTAAGTCCCTTTGGGTCCCCATTGGGGAGGAAGGCGGGGTAAGAATGAATTAAAACAAGTCAATAAATAAATATTAAAATTGGGAGCTGGAGCAGAAAGCCAGGATCGTTTCTACAGAATTTTTTTTTTTTTAAGTTGAAAATATACTTACAGGGGCCAGCTTGAGATCCTGTAAGATGTCATCAATGTAATGAAATTCTGAGTACTCCAAGTCCACCATTTCATTTTTCAGCTCCAAAATACGGCCCATCACTCCGTCCAGCACTCGCCGAATAATGAGACGCTTTTGCGGGTGAACAATCTGGTCATAAGCGGCCTCCAAATTGCGAAATATTTGCACGTACTTGATGTAGAAAGTACCCAGCATCTGGAACGCTAGGAGGCGGTCTTTGATGGGCTTTTGGGACTTCTCTTCCACCTCCCTCTGCAGCAAGCCATTGAGGGATAGCTGGGCTTCTGCCCATATCTTATTGTAAGTGCTGTTTGGAAGATGAGAGAGAGAGAGAGTCAGAGAGGGAGAGAGAGAGAAAGAGAAAGAAGTAACAGGCAATTATGTCCTTGGATTTGTGTAAAGTACTGGGTTCGCAGCATGGAGACTCAGACTACAACATGCTCTCAGACGCATTTATTGTACTTCACACATTAAGGGTCATTTCCCACAAGCGCTGCGCCGCACTCACTCTTCTCTTTGGCCCGATGGTATTTGTCAATTTCACACAAGCTGCCGAAGTGGGGCAAAATGCAGCAGCAGCTTGTGTGAAATTGACAAATACCATCGGGCCAAAGAGAAGAGTGAGTGCGGCGCAGCGCTTGTGGGAAATCACCCTAAGATAAAAAACCGGCCCCACAGAAGCCAACTATATACACATCACCCGGTACACCCACAGTCCCATGGGTGTGTGTGTGTGTGTTGAATTTCCCTCCAGAGGTCTTATTGGTGGACTCGAGGTGGACTAGGATCCTCGGTCCCTATTGTGTTTTGGGACCAAGCTTCTGATTGAGGTCACGGACCCCTAGTGGCGGTCCGTGTACACAATAATTTGTATGCCCATCGTTATGAAACAACACATTTCTCAGAACTATTACCTTTTAAAAAATTATTCTTTTCAGAACTCAGCACTACAAGGCAAGACTGGAACGGTGTGGAACTTAACAACCTCATCTTTGTAGTCCTTACTCCTTAACATCAGTCAGATAAGAATTCAGCTAATTAGGATTAGGAATTACATTTGAACGTTTTCTGAAAACATCGTACTAAGGTGTTCAATGTCTTGCCCACGCTGGCCCATTCTTGTCAAATCTCGGAAACTAAGCAGGGTGAGTACCTGGTGAGTACTGGAATCTTCAGAAGTGGGCTGACTCATGAAAGCTCACGCGGGAATAGATGCTGTTAGTCTTCAAGGTGCCAATGGACCTCTGTTTTGTTTGGCGTTGCCACAAGATGCCAGCATGGCTGTCCCTCTGGAATGATTCCAGAAGGCCTTTTTAACATTAGATCTATATATACCCTGAGTAAGTTTGTAAGTTTTTAATAGCTGCTATCTATCTAAACATTTTAAGGCTTTCATTAAATTCAAATTGTGGCCTTTTATGTGTTGTTAACATAGTTATTTTATTTATATTGTTTTCATTTTGTTTTGTTTTTTATAATCGTCTTATTAATATTGTAAGCCACCTTGAGTTCTACAAGAAAGAAAGGGGGCTAATAAATGTTTTAAATAAATAAAATAAGCTCCCTAGAATGCTTGTTTTTAATCAGAGGTAGGGTACACAGAGAGTGTACCCTACCATCTTTCTGTGTTATACCTCTGAGGATGCCAGTCACAGCTACTGGCAAAACGTCAGGTCCTACAGTGCCAAGACCACGGCCACACAACTCGGAAAATCTACAACAGCTAATGAACTCCGGCCGTAGAAATCCTTCGGCAACATAAACAAACTACGTACTCTTCCCACATTCATATTTGGTTAATAAAGGTCCCTTTCCAGGTGACATTCACGTATTAATTAGCAACATTCCAACATAATTTCTCCTTCAGGAATTTCTGCTGTTCTCCAAGATTTCCTGTGTGTTCCAGGAAGTCTAATGGCACTCTTATGAAGAAACTATGTCTTCATTTAACAGCCTATTGTATTTAGGACAATGTGTTATACGCAGAGAGGCTGTCTCATTGAGGTCACAAGGGTCAGAATGGAAACTGAATATCAGGATTCACAGGGATTCCTAGTCTGTAGTACATATTAAAGCGAAATCTGCCCTAGGGTCAACCTGTTACTGACAGAAGAAGACTGGAGACAATATAGTGGACTTTGGGGGCGCATTTTGGAGGTGCATCTGCAAAAAAATTTTTTTTTCCACACCTTGAGTTTATACGTTTTTAATGGCCTGGTCTCTGTTTCTATATTCACCTAGGTTCTATTTCTGAGATATAAAATGGACATCAGGCTTCAAAACAACAGAAAGTCAAGACAGAAGGATTAAACAATGGAGGCACAGCCTTTTCTTTTGAGAGGGACAGGATAATCAGGATAATCTCTGTGTGATTTATGTGTCCCTCCCCTGAAATGTAACATAACTTTTTTAAAAAAAATTCCTCAGTCTACTCGTCTTTATATTTAGCCTCTTCCAAATCCAGCTGTAACTTAAATGAACCTTCAAACCCAGACGAAAATCAAAAATTGAAAAATTAAGATGAGGGAGATGACTGACATCATCAGCTTTGCATAAGGTTTTAATGAATCAATGTCTTGGACAGTTTAAGCGTGTTCATCACAAATGTAAGGAAAGGCCTCAATTGTCTGGGAAACTCCCACTAGCTCTGAAAAAATAAATGAACCCCCATATTCCTGCCCCAATTGGAACATCAAACTCCATAATTTTATTCGGCTCTGACAAGGGTTGAATTAAAAAAATTAAATTAAAAATAGAGATACATATAGAGTAGACCTTTTACGGTCAAGAGGGATACAAAGAATGGAATTGGCAATTGTATAATTGGAAATAGTATTAATATTGCCAGTTGCTGGTGAAGGGTTTTCTATATCCATGGAGGCAGGGCGAAAGGGGGTTTAGATTGGCAATGTATTCTTATGGACATTTTGTAACTTTTTGCATATTTTTTGTAATTTATTTTAATAAAATATTTAAAAAATAAATGGATTTTGAAACAACAGTTTAAATCTCTGAGAAAATATATTTATGCATCTACTTAATTTATACCCCTCCTCTCTCCCTAATGGGGACCCTAAGCCGCCTACATAATTTTCGTCTCCTTCATTTTATCCTCCCAACAACCCTGTGAGGTAGGTTCGGCCGAGAGTGTGTGAAGCTGCCATGGCACAGTGGGGTTTTGAACCCAGGTCTCCCAGATCCTAGTCTAGCACTCTAACCATCACATTCAGTCACAAGTCAAATAGGATAGAGATATCAGTGGGACACAGTTAATATTATTTTCTGTGACTATTCTCCACAGTGACAGCTGCTGTAAGTTTCAATTACAATAAAAATAAAATTGAATGAGTATTATGGCTATATCCAGTAGTATAAAATTGAATAAATCCCATTCTGGCTTCACTATAAAAGTTTATTCTGAGTACACCTAGATTACTGGTAGCTGGGAAATTCCTATAACTATAAAAATCAATCAGAAAAGAGAAAAGGAATGGAAACGTGATGTTGGAAAGGGAAATATGCATTGTAAAAAGAGAGAGAGCGAGAGAATAAAACTAAATCTCAGCAGGCAAATATAGTTCCACAAAATCTCTTTTAAAGTGATTATATTTCCAAAAGAGACTCCCCTAACAAATCCTTCTGTATTATTCAAAGCCTGTTTAACCTTGATAAAAAGGTAAACACTGCAAGCTCAGACATGTCCTTGGATGAAAACATTTAATAAAGTGAAAGATGCTAACGGCATATTGAGAAGACATTAACACTCTATTTCCAGACCCTGATTGCAATTTCATTGCACTTGATGCTTCCCACCAATTTCAATGACCTACGCTTGAGGCTTCCTGTGAATCTGATAACGTGTTAGTTAGCACAAAGATCACTTCCTTGTAATTGCTTAGTAGGTGGCACAAAGGGGGGCAAGTCTAAGGTCCTTCTGACATGTCTGTACATGTCCGTTTTGTCCTGTTAGAAGGGGTAGCCTATGCAAACTGACCTAGACAGAGATGTTTCTTTCTTTATACTTCTTTCAAGTGATCTCACCATTGTCATTCATGAACATTCCTACCTTTATGGCCCAGTCTAGCCTAATCTCCTCAGATCTCAGACGCTAAGCAGGCTCAGCCCTGGCAAAGATTTAGGTGGGAGACCTCCAAGGAATACCAGAGTCGTGAGGAAGGAGGAATTCTTGCCATGAAAACCCTACTGGGTCACCACGTCAGCTGAGACCTGAGGGCACTTTCCACCACCACCAAGTCAATGAACAGCTAAACGGTTCTCCTTAGATATTACAGACTTAATAATTTCACTCGGCTATTGTCATCTAATTTTAAAAACTGAAGCTTAACACTGAAGCTAAATGTTCCAGTCTTTAACATAAATATTTGGCTTAAGGTCTTAATATATCCTAGAGTACATAATTTGACATTTATGTCATTTTACTGTCTCCATTTTATACACACAACATTTACTTTTAACAATATGTTTCCTTATTTAGATCATGTATATGCCGCTTCTTCAGAGACCTACACAAGGCGGCTCACAAAATAAAACAAGACAAAATCGTAAAAACTTAAAACCAAACCATTAAAAACCCAGCCAATAAAAACCCAAAGCAGAAATGTGCATTTAAAAAACCCACAACATAAAAAAACATCAACTTTCCTAAGAAAATCCTCATAACACTCCTCAGGTTAGAAGCAGATTATAAAAACAGTTTAAAACATCAAAACCCTAGTTAATATAGCTGTCAGTCTGTGGATATAACCATTTAATTTCCCCCCCCTCCCATATAACATTTTACCTTTAACAGAACAAATGCAATATGAAATCGTCAACTAAAAAAGGGCTATTAAAGAATGTTTTTGTAGCAGTTGCAGTTATGCCTGCCAAAATGAACAGAATGAGCACATTCTATCTGCATTCCTCACCTGCCTAGGGCAACGAAAGAACTCATCTATGGTCCTTCAACTCCTTCAAATTTAAAAAGTGGCCCATCAAGCAAGCAGTAGCACTCAAGGAATCAGGAGAATTCTCCTGTTCCCACATTATGAACGCAGACGTGAAAGTGCCGTATACTGAACCAGACCCCCTTGGTCCATCAGAGTCAGTATTGTCTACTCAGACTGGCCGTGGCTCTCCAGGGTCTCAGGCAGAAGAGGTCTCGCACATCACATAAGAACATAAGAACATAAGAGATGCCAATGTTGGATCAGGCCAAAGGCCCATCCAGTCCAACACTCTGTATCACACAGTGGCCAGAAATACCAGTGCCATCAGGAGGTCCACCAGTGGGGCCAGGACATTAGA